TTTTTTTCTAGTGGAAAATGATAACCATATGTTATTGCTTTTTTGTTGTTTAAAAAAATATTTGTAGTGACGATGATCTTCGTGAGAAGCTACGAACTGTGAATTGCACAAGCGATTTGGTTCTTGCCGTTATTCGTGATCTCTTACTGCAGTATGGTATTAAAACGGTATGTTATCGGGCTTATTGTACGTCTGACCGACGTTGATGTGCTGATAGTGCTAAAGAAATTGATGTTCTACCTGATAAAAGGCTAGCCACCGTTACCACTCGCCAAGACTGGAAAGGACATCTTTGGATGTTCAGTCGCGATTGAACTGTGATTAGCATTGAATTGTAATGATCATTTACTGCTTACTAAATGCTTACTAAGAAATTAGTAAGGTGTACTTAAAAGTAAGCTGTGCTAAAAAGCAATTGGTAGGTTGTACTAAAATAAAAAATTCTCAAATATCCAATTGTTTCCTTGTCTCTGTTGAGTGCGGTTGAAATGGCAGTATCAAGGATGGTGAACAACGGAATTTGCTGATAATTTAATCCATTATCGAATATTTGAAACGTTCAAATTTTAGTATAATGTCCAAAAAAAGGAGCGATTCTCTTCGGCTCATCCATTCGTGTCGACTTGGAAGAACTGGTTGATCGAAAAAAAGAGATTCAACGCCAACAATAATGAAGAGTTCGAAACAGTCTGCAAAATGTTAATGTTTGTGTTCGGTGATGACACTCCATCATGGTGTCTGCTGGTAAAACGTCAGTTTTCCTCTTCAAAGGAGTCTCTGATGGCTCTAGTACTCCTTGATGTTGTCCAATAAAATTTCACATTCTATTCAAAAAGCTGAAGCTGATGCTATCGGCACATGGGTATGTCCAATCGGTAATATTGAACACCAGATGAGAGTCTGCGGAGATCGGGTTTCCAACTAAACGTAGATTCAGAACATGTTTTATAAGGACATTCACGATGTGGCTTCGATTTGAAATTTTCAACTTCTGGTTTTGATCAGGTTTCACCGTACAGGTGTAATTTCAAGAATAGGTACGGAATTTTTGAGTAATGGAGCAACCTTCAGACTGGGCAGTTCTTCTTTACGATAGATTTTTTGTTACAATAAATTTATGAGGCATTTCCGTGTGAAGCTCCAGCTATGTTCACTGAAAATAGTAAAATAAGTCCATTTATTTTACCACTTAAAATGTTGCTGCAGATACACATAGCAGAACTTCTGGAGATTCCAACGATGAGTAAAAAACTCTATGGTACTGAGCAAATTTGAGGACATAGGTGTATTGAATATGATACTAGTGATCTTCCTAAACTTATGCGTTATCAAGGTGTAGAGCAAGCACATAGGGTTTGGCATTATAATGAGATCGCAAAATCGTTGAGTTTTTTGATGCAGTTTTGGAAAATCAGTCGTATCTATTCAACTGGTCATATTTCACCGGTAACCGGCACTGAAATTTTGCAGGTAAAAGTCGAATCGCACAATTCGTTCGCAGTCGACATTTGTCGAATAAACCAGCCGATATGACAGCGGCTGCAATGAAATCACTGCAAACGCTGCGCAATTTTGCAATCATATCAATGGGTTCGAAGACCAACGATGATGAGGACTCGTTACCTGAAGAGCAATATCGTGATTTCATGGGCTTTCTGGACGAGGAGAGCTACAAATTCAGACGGATTCTCAATAAACAGTACGTAGTTTTTGTGCAGTTTCTCGACATTCATCTGTTAATCACCGATTTGATCAGTGAAACATTCTAGTCATCAGCCTATTGGCTGCGTCGAACAGAAATCTATATTTTATCCAGTAACACGGCACATACTCAAATGTTAATGAAGTAATCAAAAGATCGAGTCTCTGTTGAACTGAATGTAGATGGTCACTGGCACGCCGTAAAATTTGCCGTTTTTGTAGAAAAATGGAGAAGCCAGCTGCTAAAGATGCAAAAAAACGTGCAGAAATGCTACGGGCAGTGAACCCGACTTTAGCTGAGGTAGGCAATGGTAACAATACGACCACAACGACCGATGTGGTGCTATCGGATGGAGAGCCGTGTTCGGACAAAGTGAGCGAAGCAGACTGGCGACAAGGNGCAGATTGATCCGGGTATGACGTTTGTTTTTGCAGTGTTAATTTGACTTTTTCAGTCTAAACTGTTGAAGAAACACTTTCATCTACATTTGCATCGCAGTTTAAACTAGAGTTAAATCAACGAATCGTCTTATATCTAGCCACCATATTAAAAAGCAACAGTCAGTTACAGCAACCGATAAAATTTCTTTTCAAACAGGATGAAATAATCGCACGCGGTGATTTGACCGAACTGAAACGTGTTCGTCAAACTGTATTTCAAGTAGCCAAAGGTCTCTGGCAACGTTTTCAAATCTCACAAATCTTGTTGGACTATAAAGGCGATTTCCGAAATTCTGAAGCAGCAAAAGACTTCTATCTGAAAGAAGTGGCACGAAGACGTTGGCCGACGGCAAATCTAGCGCGGTCGTTGAATGGAGTTCTGGCTCAATTTAGAGTGAGTGTTTCATTCTTCAATCATATCACTCAAACGGAATACTTGAAATTTCGATTGGTAAAGAGTTCACTACACCTTCCATTTTTGACACATTTCATACAATGTCGCTAGCTTACATACTGAAGAGTGACGTTGAAATTCATT